ACACACACACACACACACACACACACACACACACACACACACACACACACACATATATATTTGTGTTGATCAGCCTGAGTGGTCTGTTGACTGACCTTTGTATTTGTTCAAATAATTGTTATGGGCAGGTTACAATATAAAAATGTTTGTTATAATCATGTCTTGTGATTATTTGACAGGAGTTTTACTTTTAAAATGTAAGTGTATTTAATGTAGTTATGTTAGTTATGATAGTTTAGTTATGATGTAAATACAATAAAAATTAAACCAAGATTTATAATAATTATATTTTGATCCATACATTGATAATGTCTGACTGGGCCTCGTGTCACTTTATGTTCAATAAATTGGGCCCCGAGGTCAAAAAGGTTAAGAAGCCCTGGTTTAGACCAGGGGTGCCCAAACATTTTCCCTGAGAGGGCCAAAATGAAAATAAATCTGAGGGCTACTGCTCAAAAAAATAAAGGGAACACTTAAACAACACACACTAACTCCTGATCTTAATCAATGAAATATTCACATTGAGTACTTTGTTCTGTATAGAGTTGAATGTGCTTCACAAAAGTTTGATTTACATTAAATGTACAAATTTAGATGTTTGCTTAAATCTAATCTAAATGTCTAGTTACTTTATTTTATGTTTAATTTTAATAAAAAGATAAAATAAGTGCCATAAGTTAAGACTTTCTGCACTCCAGCCCTTTATAGAGTTGGACCATTGGTTGGAAGGATTAAGTGGAAATATAGTGTTTCTACATAAAACAGGAGAATACAACCTCGTAGCCAGAACAACTGCTTGTGGGCCAAATCAAATGGCTTGGCGGGCCAACTGTGGCCCACGGGCCCCACTTTGGCCACCTCTGGTTTAGACACAATGGAACACAGTAAACATATAAACTATTTAAACTAAGAAATTGAACAACTTTTTGAAAATAAAACATGGTTTTGACTTTAGTGCCAGCAACACTCAGTGGCAGGAGGTTTGAACCAAGACTTAAGAGTTCAAAACCAAACATGTTTTAATTTACGAATGAACAAAAGGCTGCTGTGGCAACAAAATCTGGAAAGCTTCACAAAAATCAAGGACAATTTGGGATTCCTCACAGGGGAACAGGTGGGAGTGGGGGTGACAGGCTGATTGACAGGGAGGAACACAGGAAAACACAAGTGTTAAAAGTAAAAACCTGACTACACAAATCCTGGTAACAGGTCTAACAAAGGTTTAACAGGTTCATGTTTCCCTCTTTTAACAATGTTCTGCAACATTTGGGACCTGAGGAGAGCAGGTGTTAGGGTTTTGGGGGTGAATGTTGTCACGTTCATGTCTGATGTAGGATCCTAGCTGCTCACCAATCCTGGACCATTTGTAGAAATGATTATTATTTTTAGTTTTATGTTGCAATAATTTTTTTTTACCTGGTGAATGTCTGGACTGCAGGTCGGCCAGTTCAGCACCTGGACTCTTCTACTACAAACACATGCTATTGTAATGGATGCAACTTCAATTCAAAATGATTTGTTTTCAGCAAAACATTGTACAGTTTCTTAGTGTAACCCAGGTGTCTCCAAGCTTTTTCTCCTTAAGAGCTACTTTCACAAAACAAAATTGTCCGAGAGCTACTTTTTGAAACTTTTAATTTTAAACGTAAACCATTACAATAAGCTTGTTTAACACAAAGAACTTTGTCTTCAGTTCACATGAAACTATTAGAAAGAACACAGAATTTACATAATTGTACTTTTTGTGATTATCCATTCATATTATATTGTATTTTACACTAAATGTAGGGTTTAACTGTAACAGATTTGTGCACAAATAACATTGTGTAATGGGTCTCTGACATTTTTCCCAGCAGGAAGAAACCCCCTGTAGTGACATATACTGCAGCAGGAGGGGTGGCCCAGGAGTTTGGCACAGTTTGTCTCAAGGTTGTATGAAAAGTGTGTGAAAACGAATGCAGAACAGTCACGTAACTGTGTGACATCTGCCCATCGACCACACTGAGCCCTGAACTGTTGGACAACCAAGGGGAAGGGACATCTATAGACTGATTGGGGTTAAATAAAACTTTGTTTGGTCAGTGACAAATTAAAATTAGCTTCTCCTAATTTTTCATAAACACTGAAGAGCTGCTTTAAACGAGTCCAGGAGCTACAGGTTGCAGAGCCCTGGTCTAACCATTTCACATATTAACTATCTTTCAATCTGAATAAAATATACTGTAGGTTCCTGACATCAGCAGAATGCTTTCTGTTTTATTTCCATTTTACAGCCTGTCCCAACCTACAGGATGTAAAAACCAGTAGTTACTGAACAATGAAGCACTAAACGGTGCTAACAGAAAACAAATCGGTCATGTTCAGGTGGTGCTTTGACTTATTTATGGTAGAATTAAAACAGTAAAAAAGGATTTGTTTAATTTACTTAATAAAGTTATGTTAAATGGTTCCAATCATCCCAGCTGAGTAAATGTAACAAGATTTACACAAGTGACAAAAAATCTTCTTACATGTACTGAGTGGAAACACACTTGGTTAAGTCAATTCAACAAATCATTTTTGGTGAATAAATATATCTCAAGTAAAATAATATAAAATGTACAAATATGCAAATTCTGATGCATGACTAGTGTTGTTTTTCTTTTCACCTAATGTTTTGTTAGATTTAGATTCAGCACTTTTAGGTTTAGTTGAACATTTGGTTTACAGTCCTAAATATGATGAAAAAAAGCATCAGTTCGTCCCACAACCAAAGCCCTCCTCTGAAACACAAACATGCAGACCTGGAGATTTATTTCTCTTTTTCAACTTGTTTAAACATCACCAACTCTTGTGGGAATAAAGAGGCTGATTACAGCTCAGAGATCAGCAGCTGATCTGTTTCCGTTTGGTGCTGAGGAGGAGGAGCTGCAGCTGAACAACAACAAACATGAAAAACCACCAGGAGCTGACGAAGACCTGCAGAGTCAGGTCTTCATTCAACACCACAATAATTTATCATGTGGAACGTGTGTCTGAAGTTAAAAACTGACTTCATTTTCATTTGGACAAACTGACTTTGAAGGATTTTGTCAAACAAGAATGAGAAGTTAAAAATAATTTTGTTTTGAAAAACTAGAAATGTAAAAAAAAATTATTTTCAGTTTTTGTATGATCTGCATTATTATTA